TTCCAGTGGACAAAGGGCTAACTGGGAAGCAGGGCAAGGCCTTCTCTCCCCTTCCATCTGCCTCAATTACTCCCATCTCCACCCGCATCTTATCCCCCACAATAGGAGCCTCACATGAAAATGAAGATGCCCTCCTAGGCTGAATGTTGCAGTCTTCCAAAATCCCCTAGAAGCAGTGGAGATAAAGAAAAAAAAAAAAAAGTCCTTTCCTTGAGAAGCTAATCACAATGTTGTGACTGCCAGAGTTAGCTTACCCATATCATATTTGAGTGTCCTAGGACAAGCCCTCTTTCATGCTCCTCTCCCTCACTCAGTGTCTGAAAGCCACCATTAAAAGTATATTCTTGCATCATCGCTGAGATGAATCGCAGATTAGGTATAAATGAATAAGATCATTAGATCCTAGCAGTAGGAAAGAGATAGTTTGGGAATACTGGGACTAGGGAGAGCAAGAGTGAGCTCAGAACAAGAAGGGGAAAAATGAGATAAATACCAATCCCATAGTTTTTCCAGAAGCTGATCCTAATCACATTGCCCCTAAAGAAGTGGTCCTAAAAGAGGAAGATTGAAATTAACAAGTCCTTTGTCTCCATTCTTTCTTGTGCTGGGCCTGCTGGAGCTGTAGCCCCTACTGGATCACAGTTAGATCCTAAAAGGAACCAAGGGGAGATCCCCTGTTCTTCTAGGGACCTGAAGCGTTTTCTTGAATAGACATCTTATGAGTCAGGTATGTGGAAATCCAGTGAGTTTGTACTGCAATCCAGTCATTCATGGCCACCTCCATCCTCCCCAGGGTTCCAAGAGCATCTGGCAGTGAGAGTAGAATGTGACTTGAGAAGCTGTGGGAAGTCCAGCATACCCACCTGTGTACTCTGCCTGACATCTGTAAACATTTCAAGGTATATCTTCTTCCATATTCCACTGAACCCCACAACTGGAGTTTCTTTCTTGGGGTTTTACCTTTACACTATCCTAAGTGATCTGTTATAAAATGTGAATATCCATGGAAGGGGTACCATCTAAAGCAATGATTAAGTATGCCACTTCTATTTAAGGGAATTTAAGCGTTCTCGTTTTTCTCTGACTGAAAATGGTACTGTGGTAAAACAGTGTCTATGTACTTAACACTACTGAGCAGTACACTTTTAAAAATGGCTATGTGGGTAAATATTACATAATGTGTATTTTACCACAATCTAAAAAATGTATCTAAGGTATTTCCCTGCCTACTCTGGCTGCACTCTCTTCAGAGGAAGAGGCGCAGGCCACAGCTTTGACCACGATTCTGTCCTCTTTCAAAACATAGCAGATGGGGGACTAGTTGGGGCCACCTGGTCCCATGCTATGAGGCCTAGCACCGAAAGAGGAATTGGCTTAACCACATTATTTGTCTTCCTGGACAGCCTATAGGTTATGTTAAGTAGGAACAAAAGGGCTGAAATGTGACTTCTCATCCAACAGCTTCTCCCAAGGCCATTTTTGATGGAAAGGTCAAGTTCATCTAGGCTGACTATTGACCAATCTAATCTGTTCACCTTTGGTGATCCTCAGTCATACTCTGTTACCTTCACAGAACATTCCAGTTCACTCTTCCTCCTACCTCCCTTATGAAGCCCAGCACCCCTGATTCTTACCCTTCATTCTTTTCTCTTATGCTCGCTACCAATCCCTGAGGACTCCTGTCTTCAAAAGTCTAGACTCCAGTCCTGGTGGAGCATTGTAAATAAAGTGCTACTGTCATACTTTTTTTTAAAGAGCACCATGGGCCTGCAGGTAAACGAGAGTAGAGTAGAATGGTGAGACAGTTATGCAGTTTCCTAGTCAGCCAAGATCCTGAGAATGGGGTAGATAAGCTTGAAAATGTGGGAGCCAGTGGCTAAGTATCAGCAGTCCTCTTCTTTGAGCGTTAACAGTAGAAACTACATAATGGAAACTTTTCTCTTCCTCCCACTACCCCTACCCAAGTGCAAAGAGCACTCCTCCAAAGAAAGAAAAGGAAAGTATAAACTTAATACCTTCTATAGCTTCTATACTTCTCCTAGCCTTTTCCCATCTATTATCTCACTTGATCCTCAAATCCCCACAGCTGTAGACACTGGGGCACCAAGAGGTTAAGCAGCTCACTCTGAGAAACAAAGCTGGTTAATTGGCAAAGCCTGAGCTGGACCCAAGTTCTCCTGATTTCTGGTCCTATGCTGTCTCCACATCATGGTGAATTTGCTGTAGCCGGCAGGCAAGATTGTTTGGAAAGCAGCCCAGACCCTTTTATTGTTGTTGATGATACAAGTTATGTGCAGACCTTGGGTTTATAAAAGCAACGACAAATTGAAAATGAGAAGATGGTAACTACAAACAAACAAACGACCCCACTTATATCCTTCTAGGAAAGTAAAATTGACAACACAGAATTGTGTCTGTAATAGAAGAAAAGCTTTCATTTCTTTTCGCACTGTCGATGAGTAAATTCCAGACATTGAAACTCAAAACATTCCCCTAGTTCTTCTTTGTAGAAAGCCTCAAGTTACAAGTAAGGAAGCAAAGGTCTTTTGCTTCATTATTATTTTGAAGTGAAGATCGAACCTGAATTGAAAGAGGATCTGGTTATGCAGAGGAGAAACAGATTGCTTGGTGGAGTAAAAAAAAAAAAATCATTCTATTGGAATGTTTAACATCTTTAAAATCACATTAAGGACAAAGCTAACATTTTCCCAACTTGTATAGTCAGCTATTGCTATTCAGGGATACATTATCAAAACCAGGGGTTGGCCAAGCAGCACCCAGTTCTTCTTTCTTCTCCCTATCTTTCGCTGACCACAATATGATCACTTCAATGCTGTTAACACCTCCACTGTCTGGTAAAAGTTGAGTGTCCAGATGTCTGAAAAACTTCATTATCTGGGAGACAGTTGAAAGTCTGAGAGTATTTGAAAAAAGCCACTAGAAAGTAAATTAAATCATTCTTCCCAGCCCACGTCACTTTTCTCACCAGGAGGGTTCTGTAGCTACTCTCGCTACATGTTCGTGGGTACCCTAAGTCATCATAAAAAGGTTAAAATGTTTTTAAAAGCAGGAACATTTTCCATGGGATTTGTTTTCCACAGCTGGCACATTAATATATAGTATGGACACTGTCCCAACTGCTCCCAGCTTCTTTTATTTTTGGCAATATATTCTTTTAAATGTCTATGGGAAAATGGTACAAATGTGTACCAAATTTCAACACCTGAAGCAGTGACTATGCTTCATTATCAAGATAACCTTGAGGCTGGGCGCAGTGGCTCACGCCTGTAATCCCAACACATTGGGAGGCCGAGGTGGGCAGATCACTTGAGGTCAGGAGGTTGAGGCCAACCTGGCCAACATGATGAATCCCCGTCTCTACTAAAAAATATATATATATATATATATATATATAATTAGCCGGTGTGGTGGCGCAGCCTGTAGCCCTGCTACTCGGGAACTGAGGCAAGAGGATCCCTTGAACCTGGGAGGCAGAGATTGCAGTGAGCCAAGATCGCGACACTGCACTCCAGCCTGGGCGACAGAGCAAGACTCCATCTCAGTTCTAAAAACTAATAACCTTGAGTCCCCATTATGCCAGATAAATGAATGACATTATTTTACTTAGAACACAGGACTGAAGACTGCCCCGTCACATGTCCTCAGCATTGCTGTATATTATGCCTTCCCTCCACATCCTCCCCAGGCCTCCCTGCCTGGCTGAAATGGCTCACACAGCTTCCTTTCTCTTTCTGTCATCATCTTGGACTCCTGCCCAATCCCTGGCCCTCACCTTCAAGAGTGACCTTATGGCTGGAACAAGGACTGGAGAAGAGCCAATGGGGCAAGGCCAGTATAGCTTCAAGGAGTGAATCCTGGAAATAAAGGTAAGTTCACTTAACTTATTAATAGTTCCAATAAAATGCTAGATGGGCTGGAAGGTCAGACCCAATGCTTTGAATGAGGTTTGTGTGTTATCAATGCATTTAAGTGACTGGTAATATATTTGTCCTGCTGTCTTTATCAGAGAACCCAGCTATATTTAAGCAAATTGGCTTACTTCTATGAGGTGATTTTATCTGTGGTTGATGAAGCCCAAACAGCCATCATCAGATATAAGCATTTCAGCTGTAAGCAGGGAAGTTTCTGACAACCTTTTTGAGACAAGGAGAACAGATGAGTACAACACATACCTCTAACTTTACCCATCATTGGTTAAGATTGCTCAGTTCAAGAATTTTCTCTTTGACTTTAGATTTACACTATTTGGTGGCTTCCTTGTCTTTTAATAAGCCACTTTTAAAAAGTTATTGGCTGGGTGCGGTGGCTCATGCCTGTAATACCAGCACTTTGGTAGGCCGAGGCAGGCGGATCACTTGAGGTCAGGAGTTCGAGACCCTCCTGGCCAACATGGTGAAACCCCCGTCTCTACTAAAAATACAAAAATTAACTGGGCATGGTGGAGCACATCTGTAATCCCAGCTACTAAGGAGGCTACTTGGGAGGCTGAGGCAGGAGAATCACTTGAACCCAGGAGGCAGAGGCTTCAGTGAGCCTTGATTGTGCCACTGTACTCCACCCTGGGTGACACAGAGAGACTCTGTCTCAAAAAAAGTAAAATAAAAAGTTATTAAGGTGGCTTGTAAACATTAGGTTTGATAATAGCTGAAAGTGATGGGTCTTAGAGGTTTTTTTAAAGTGCATCCTGAAAAACTGCATTGTGATCTTTGAAAGTGCTTCAGAAATAAGAAAAAAGGAGGGGTAAGTGATAAAGTAGGTATAACTTTTGAAACACTTGAAGAAACAACCCATTTAGCCACATAAACATTTTCTTCACCCACAATCACATGTATCAAATTGGAACTGGATATATAGATATAAATATCACAACCACCCAACCCCCAAATCCAAACTTCATTTCCAAAAGCAAAAGAAAAAGGATTCCTTCTCCATATGGTACTGGGTCTTAAGGCTGGAATCTTTGAGAGAAGAGTCTTGCGTTATTGTTTAAACAACCTTTATTACCTGCCTCTGACATTCCCCAGGGTTACAGAGCAGGGAACATCTGAGCCTCAAGTTCCACGGATGAAGCAGACACTGCAATAACAACTGAATCAATAGAAGAGAGGCATTTGGAAGTACAGGGGTGATACACCCAGTAATGGTAACCCTCAGCAGAAGATGGCATAGCTACCAGAAATCAGGCAAGTTACCACTGGGATGAAAACTGGGGAGGCGAGAAAACCATACAGTTGCAGTCATAGATCATTTCCCTCCCCGTTGAGCACTCCTCCCGCTTCTGTGCCCCATTAAGTTCATTCTATCCCACAGACTGTTCCTAGTGTCCTGCTAGCTCCCTGCTGAAAGAGAGAGGAAGGGAAAAGATGTCTGAGGTCTCTTCATTTCCTTTGTCTCTGTCCCTAAGGCAACTGGAAGCTGGAGCTGCTGCAGTCGGCCTGGCAAGCCCGTTGGCTCTACAGAGTGAGCAGTCGCTGGCAGCCCCTGGAGCAGCTGCCAGTTAGACGGCCCAGAGTTCTGATAGAATGCATTGCTTCAGTTCAATGCCAAGTGTTGGACGTGTTGGATTCAGTTCCCAGAGGGCTGGAGCCTGCTGTCAGGGCTGTCTGAAGACAAGAGAGCAGAGGCAGTTTAGTGCAGTTGGATGTGCAGGGTAGGGGTGGAGGCGCAGGGGTGAAGAGGGAGAAACTGGCCAGGAATGGGTAAGGTGGTGCTTCTCCTTCCAGGGCCTTCCAGACAAGGTCTCCTGGCCTCTCACCATTATTTAGGCCTCAGATGAGGCGAACCCTGGAAAGGAGTGGGGGGTGAAAGGCGGGAGGTGCGCCCAGGGATAAGCGAGATGAGGAGGGCGCGAACCAGCAACCTGGGGCTGTGGTTTTAGACCCGCTCAGCCCCCTGGGCCAGGGCAGGCAGCCCCCCGGGGGCAAGCTGGCGGCAGCCCTCGGCCGGGGAGTCCGCGGCAGTCTCGGCGTCGGCGGCCAGGGCGCCTCCTGGGGCCCATTCGTGCTCGGCGCTAGCCTGGGACGGCTCGTCCTTGGCCTCGACGAGCTTACGGGAGCGGGTGTAGGCCAGGATGAGGCCTCCGGCCAAGCAGGCGTAGAAGATCATGATGAGCAGAATGTAGAGATAGGCGTCGTCGCCCTTGGCGCTGGTCACTTCGCGGCCCAGGAAAGGGTCAGGCACGACCCCCATGCCCATGCTGGGGCCAGGGCCTGCGCCCAAGCCGCTGGCGTTACCCCGATGGTGCAGCTCGAGCAACAGGCGGCTCAGAAGGGTTCGCAGCCTCTGGCTCTCGCTGCAGTTCATGGCTTTCGGGGAGTGACACGGCGGCTCCAGGACGCTGCTGACCTTTCCCCCTGGGCGAGGGGAAGCGAGCTAGCGAGCGGGCCGGCCGGCGGGCAGGGCTCAGCGGTGACAACGGCGGTGGCACCCAGCTCTCGGGCGGTCTCGCAGTGGCTGGGGGCGCTGACCGCGGGGCCTCCTTATTCCCTCACTCCCGCCCCTCCTCCCCTTCCCCACCACGCCCCCTCCGGCCCGCGGCCGCCTCTTCCCCAGGCTCTGGCTCTCTCACTGCTCCAGGGAAAGGGGACAGCTGGTGGGGGGAGGAGAAGGGGACAAGAGGGGGGGCGAGGCTGAGAGACGGGCGGAGGGGGCGGGGGCTCGGAATGCGCGAGGCCCCGGGCAGCAGAGGCTGGCAGGGCAGCTTGCTGGGGCCAAGCCTGGACCCTGGGCTGCGGAAGAGAATTCCTTCCAAGTTCTGGCCACCTGCCCTGTAGGCCAGGCTTTGGCCCAGATACAGCATTTGGCCCCCTAAGGCAACTCTGCCTTGGGGCGCTCAAGGGAGAGGGCAGACGCCTTTCCGCGGCAGAGACCCCTTGTCCACATTTTATGGAAGTTACTCCCATATACGAGGACCCAGGCCTATCTTTTTAGTCCTCATTCCTTTCTTTTTCCCCCCGCCCCCCTTGTCATCCCCCTCCCACCTTGTCGGAGGAGAGCATCTCATTCAAAAGATGCTCAGGCTGAATTTGGTGACTGAGTGCTCAGGCACCTGCTAGAAGGCCAAGGCAGAGTAGAATTCCCCGGTTATCCAAAATGGTTTCTGGTGATATAAGTGATATAACAGCCTTCTTGGAAGCACCCCTGCTCTGATGTTCTATGACACTTTTTGAAAAGTCCACACATCTTAGCACATGAATGTCCTATTCATAATGGGACCCTGTTTCCCATGGGAAAATAAGCCATCTTCCCAGAAGTGAAACCAAGTTCTTCCAGTAAGAGTAGCATGCACATTAAAAAAGGCCCTTTGAATACACTCTGTAGATGTCTCGGGATCTGAAAAGTGCCAGTTCTAGAGAATATGCTCACCCTACTCCCAGTTAGGCCAGCACACAGCTATGTGCCTCTCTAGACTTGGTAACAGGTCTAGGCCCTAATGGCTTATAGGGCAGCCATTTTTTCTCAAAGGCTGTCTTTTTTTAGGGGAAAACAAGGCACCAAGACAAAGATCAGGCCAGATATGTTAAATTGGAAACAGACTGAGCTTCACAAAGGAAAAGGGTTGGTTTGTAAATGGTGGGGTAGAAAAAATGAGGTAGTGCTGGCTAGGTGTAGTTGTCCATAGTTGCCAAATGAGAGCAGAAAGAAAGAAAAGTGTATGACCTTATGCACACCTTGAAAATAATGCTGCCTGTTCAAGACCGTTCAGTCCAGGGACCATTCCATCTATAGGTGCCATGGGTTAAAAAAGGAAGGTTTTCCGATGCCTCTTCCCCAGCCGTTCTTCAGCTCACCATCCACCCAGGGGCTGTAGCCTTCTGTGTGTTCAGGTGAGGCTGGCATCAAACTGTATCCAGGGTCTCAAAAAGAGCCTTGCTTCACAGCCTCTAAACAGGCCTCAGACATTCCGCATGACCCTGACACTGGCTGCCTTCTAATCACCTTGCCTCAATCTTCTCACCTCAGAGGGGCTCAGGAAAGAATTGTTAAAGCAACTTGGCAGGATGAATGCCAGAGAACACAGCTAGAGAATTTTCAAAGCAGTACTAACCTAGTGATATGACTGTTGAGCTAAAAAGACTTCTCTTATCTGTTAAAACAAGAGCCCCCAACCTCCCAGGCTGCTGGACCCTGGCCTGTTAGGAACCAGCCGCACAGAAAGAGGTGAGCAGAGGGCAAGTGAGCATTATTGCCTGAGCTCCACCTCCTGTCAGATCAGCGGTGGCATTAGAGTCTCAGAGGAGCTCAAACTGTGTTGTGAACTGCGCATGCCACGGATCTAGGTTGCATGCTCTTTATGAGAATCTAATGCCTGATGATCTGAAATGAAACAGTTTCATCCTGAAACTATCTGCCCCTCCCCAATGTCCATGGAAAAAAATTGTCTTCCTCAAAACAAGTCTCTGGTGCCAAAAATGTTGGGTCTGCTGTGTTAAAACATACCTAGAAATATCTAGGGATTTTTTTTTTTTTTAGAGGAAAGGAGGAAGAAGCCCCTTTACTGTAACATAAAAATAATCATTTAAACTTGTTTTCTAATTTATTTTTTTATTTTTATTTTTTTTTTTTGAGACGGAGTCTGGCTCTGTCGCCCAGGCTGGAGTGCAGTGGCCGGATCTCAGCTCACTGCAAGCTCCGCCTCCCGAGTTCATGCCATTCTCCTGCCTCAGCCTCCCGAGTAGCTGGGACTACAGGCACCCGCCACCTCGCCCGGCTAGTTTTTTTTTGTAGTTTTAGTAGAGACGGGGTTTCACCGTGTTAGCCAGGATGGTCTCGATCTTCTGACCTCGTGATCCGCCCGTCTCGGCCTCCCAAAGTGCTGGGATTACAGGCTTGAGCCACCGCGCCCGGCCTGTTTTCTAATTTAAACAGCCTTATGAGTGAATAAGATTCTCATTTTCCAAAAAGGAAACTGAGGTTCAGACTGGTTAAGTAGCAGGACTGGAATTATAAAGTTTGACCTTCTTCTTCTCAGTCCTAACACATTACTTGCGTCACGTGGGTGGTATTCAAGCGCTACCTCCATTTTCCCACCTCTCCCTCCTCTTGAACCTTCTAGAGTCCAGTGCTTTCTGCCAAGACTGCTTTCCATAAGTCACTTCACCAGTGACCTCCCGGTCAAATTCAGGGGTCTCTGCTCCCTTTGCATCTTTGACCTCGAGGATGAATTTGAAACCATCAACCACCCACTCCTTCCTGCAACTGTCCTACCCTTGGCTCTTGTGGCATTGCATTCTCAGGTTTCTCTTCTTATCTCTCTGACCCATCATTCTCTGTCTCCTTTGCTGGTTCCTCTTCTTTCCTTCTCCCATTTACTATTGGAATCCCCCAAAGACTCAGTCCTCAGCTATTCTGTCTCAACACCCATTTCCTTGAAGAATGTCTCTTTACATGGTTTCACCTACCACTTGGCATATATTTAGCCAAATTTGAATCTCTAGCTCTGATTCTTGGTAGCATGTCTCAGATCCCTCTGCGCCTTCCTTTCTCGTTTTATTGCCACAAGCTTAATCCATGTCCTCATTACCTCAGGTCAAATATGCAAACAGAGAATCCTGGCTTACAGCCGAATCTATCATGTTATGGCTAGAATAATCCTGCAACACCACTTCCATCAATTCAGCCCTATGTTCAGAAACCCCGGAGTTGTTACTCATTGATTCTTTAATAGAGTTTAGTCTTCTGTGGTGGAACTTAAGTCCTTACCACCAATAGACACCATCTTCTCCCCTTTAAATTTGAAAAACAGCATCTTCCTGGAGTTCCTCTGCAATCCTCTGTGCATTTTGCCTTCCTCAAAATTTGCTGACTGAAAGAAGCCTTGCTGTATCCCCATTTGCGCTTTCAGATTCTTCACAATGCACCCTTCTGAGCTTTACTTTGCAGCATTCAATGCAGAAATCTTGGAAAACACAAGAAAGCAACAAGAAAAAAATTGGAAATCTTGGAAAACGCAAAAAAGCCAAGAAAAATTTTGGAAATCTTGGAAAACACAAAAAAGTGACAAGAAAAAAGAACAAAAAATTACCAATAGTGCATACTCATGACAAATCTCTCTCTCTTTCTCTCTCTCTCTCTCTCTCTCTCTCTCTCTCTCTCTCTCTCTCTCTCATGGCCTTTGTTTCATGGCCTTTTTCTCGTGTTTCATGGCCTTAACAACATACTGTAAATTTTTCCATGTCATTTACTATTTCTCCATAGTGTTTTTTGTCTACACAGTACTCCAGACTATGGATCTGCCATAATTTATTTAACTTTGTCATTTATTGTAATATTTATGTTATTTCAGGTTTTGCTATTAAAATAATGTTTTAATAAACACAATGCTACTTCTAGTTTTATTGAAAGACATCATTACCAGAGAGAAATCAACCTACTAATTTATAGAAGAATGGCATGGGGAGGGATAGATGTGTAGAAGCGGGTGGAAACAAACGGAGAATAGTCATAAAATTTAAAAAGGCCCAACGCTCCGGAAAAAAAACAACAGGTGTGGGCGGAGGGGATTCTGGCTTTCTTTTCACACTAGGGGCTTCTGGGCATCTTTTAAATCTCAGTTCCAGGCCAGCCTAGAATGGCTGAGATGCCAACCCCTTTCCCTACACACTTAATGAAACTGCAAATCCAACAGATGGGCACTGGTTCTCATTCCTCACCACCCCTCCACCCTCACTTTCCATGAGCCCCATACCTGTCAAATAATCATCTGTTTATCCATCACCTGGAACTCATTTCCAAAATGGTAATCAAGGGTGTTGACAAAGGGAAGTAATTTACAATCATGTATTTAGACTTTCAAAGAGTCTCAGGAAAGATTCTCTTCCATGCCAAGGTTGCTTTAAAAGTACAATTGAGGCGCCATGGATAGGAAATGCTTTCCCCATTCCTTGAGACTGTGAGTGCTTCCTGCCAAAAGTGCAGCTCTATGGAAGTTGGTTGAATTGAACTGAGTTGAGTTTGGCTAGTTGCCAAAGGACAGACACAGATGGTAAGCACTGTCGGAATCCAGAAGGCTGGCAAAGCCACTGTGGGCTCTAAAGGAGAGAAAGAAAGAAGGCTTCATGAGGCACCAACTAAAGACTGAGAAAGAATCATTCATTCATTCATTCATTCAACAAATATTTATTGCATGTTACTTTGTGTGAAGCACTCTGCTGGGTCCTAGAGACACATCGGTGAGCAAGTCACATCGGTGAACAGTCTGTGCCTTTATAACTCTCACAGACACTTCTTTGTGAACTGGGGACAAATAGGGAGTGCCAAGATGTGGAGCTGGGTAAGTAGTGGGCAGGACGACCAGCCAGAATTCTGGTTTGGAGAGAACTGAGACTCTGGGCCCAATCTCTGAGCACTGGAGTCCAAAGCCTTGTTTGGAAAAAGGAAGACTCCAGGTGGTCTGAGCTCACTGTCCCAGGCTATGTTGCAAGCTTCTCTACCTCCTCCTAGCAGCACCATCTTGAGGATATGGTTTGCCATAAGCTACCACAGTAGGTCTGTTCTCAAAAGACTGATGAGAATATAAATTAGACGGTTCCTGAATCCAACTGGGGCTTCTCAGTTGTTCCATGGGAATATACACAGCATTTCAGACTAACTGGTTTTTGATAAAGATCACAATAATTGTAGGTTGGAATGGGCCTCAGGAGCTTCAAATGCCTTACTTAGAGACTTCTTGGAGATCTTCATGGGCTTGTGCTGATATCCCCCTCTATTCAGGCCACATACTGAAGCATCAAATTTGGTCTCTGATTTCATTTATCAAGTGTCTAGCATATGCCAGGCATATTACATACATTATACTAATTAACCTTATAACAACCTTATGAGGTGGGCAGGTATGGATTCAACAGCAGTATGTCTTCAATGCTGATCAATCAGAATGGACTAACAAACCATCAGAATAGATGTTGACTGTGAACAACTAGTATGGCCTTACAGAGCCACAACATCATTGGGCAAAGAAGTAGGACAGAGGCACAGACTAAATGGCTTCCCATTTCCCAGGGGATCAAACCAAGATCACATCTCCTTAGGCTTTGGGGCTGTCCTGGTCATTCTGAACCTCTCTTTATGGATGCTTCCACCTGCTCCCGTTGCTCATTGCAGGTACCTGAAAAGCTGCCTTGCCTGCCAACCCCCCTAAAGCAATGGCATCTATTGCACCTGCCCCTTTCTCCCAGTAAATTCCTAAAGATGTCACTCCTTGGCTCAAAATTCTTGAATGGGTCCACTAGACTTCCAAATGATCACCTTAGTGTGGCCTTCAAGACTCTCTGTGCTCTGGCTTGAAGACGCTGTCCACCCCTACTTACAGCACTAATTACCCAAAATGTCTTCAATGCCACACACCTTCTCAACTAGATGAAATCTCACTCTCCTTAGCAATCTCATAGCGTAAAATAATAGTGATGGATGGGCTCATCAGATGGCCCCTACAGACCTCTTGAGGGCAGGTGCTGTGTTCTTCCTCTTTGTATCCCTCACCATGCCTGGCACAGTGCCTGGCACATAGTATGTGCTCAGGAAATATTTACCTAGGTCTGAGATCTGCCTTCCTGCAATGAAACTTTCCAGCTTTGAAAAAGATTGACTCTGTGGGGAATGTGAAACATTGAAGTTACATTTTTCCAAAACAATATTGTGTAAAATTTCAAACATATAGCGACATTGACAGAATTATACAGAGGATATCTGGTAACCATCTAGACTTTACCACTAATATTTTCCTATACTGGCTTTATTCATCTCTCACCTACCCATTCCTCCCTCCATTTATCTATTCATTATCTTTTTTTTTTTTTGAAGTTGCAGACATCAGTATGCACTTCACTCCTAAGCACTTTCTCCATAATTATCATTAACTATAGTCCAATATTTGTTTCTTATTCTTTTTTCCTTTTGAGGTAAAATATACATACAATGAGATATATAAATATTAATTGCATGTTTTCTGAGTTTTGGCAAATGTAACCCCTACTAAGATATAGAATACTACTCAAGAACATTTCCTCTTGTCCTTTCATAGGCAATCCTCTCCCTTCACCCCCAGAGGCAGCCACTGTTCTTTTTTTCCACCATTGATTAGTTTAGCCTGTTATAGAAGCTCATACATATGGAATCATAAGGCATGAACTTTTTTGAATAAGACTGCCTTTACTCAGCTTAATGTTTTTGAGGATCATGCTAACACATGATACATAATGATACATAATTCATATATATGATACATAAATCATGATACATGCTGTTGCAAGTATCAGTAGTTTGTTCCTTTTTATTACTGAGTGGTACTCCACTGTGTGACCATACTACAGTTTGTTTATCCATTCTCCTACTGATGAACACTTGGTCTGTTTCCAACTTCTGGCTATTAAAAATAAAACTGCTACAAATGTTCTCATACAAGTCCTTTGGTGGACATATGTTTTCCTTTTTCTTGGGTAAATACCTAGGTGTGGAAATGCTGGGTCAAGGGAAAGATGTACTTTAGTTTTATAAGAAATTGCCA